TTAGTAGTGATAATCGTCAGAGAAAACAAGGTTCCAAATGCACTGATACTGGATAACTATATTAAAGCACCAAAAATGCTTTCTTCTGCTCTGGTAGCAGTTTTGTGTGCATGAAACAACTATGCAACAACACGTCAAACAGGAATGAACCAAACTGAGATTACTGGCCTTCTTTTTTCTCACGTGCAATTGATGGACGGACCCGTGCCATAACTTTTTAAATTGCAGAGGTTCCAGAAATCAGGTCCTCCTTTTTTTCTGCATGTTCTAAATGCAACTTTTCAAACCACCAAAAAAATCACCTGAGTCTAACTGCTAACGTATATATCTCTGCAAACAAGGACAACACTTCCTTAATAAACATGGCTCTGCTCCACGAAGATGGAACATCATCTCATTAGTTACTAGCACTGTATCTTTTTGATGGATTCCCATAGTACCATTCTCCTACACTGCATTTTTCCCATCTGCTCTATCTGGCTTTGAGGTTGGCTATAGCATTAAAGGGCCTGTTGCTGCAAATGCTTTCACCTGGGAGATAGCTCATTAAGTTAAATGAGTATAAACTGAAGCATGTGTGCCAGCACTCCTCAGACTGAGGACAGTTAATATTAAGGCATAAGTGAACCTAGTTCAGCACCCAAATACAAGAAAATGCTAGTTAGAATGTGATGGCAGCTTATATGACCTTTTAGCAGTATTCAGCTGGCCAAACAAGTCTACTTGTTAAGAGGGGATGAGGCTTCTTAAATAGTAGATAAAATTGCTCTAACTGCTCCAGGGGTCCTGTCTTCTAGCAGTGTTGTGGTTATTTACTGAGCTCTGGTCTGGTAATTTTTTATTTTATTTTTATATATTTTATTTACTGACTATGGAAGATTAGTATCCAAACTGTGTGCAAAATTTAGAGTGTTTTTTTTTATTTTTTTTTAAAGTCAAGTGTTGGTAGTACGTCTTGATGTACTTTGGTTTCCTCACGCATACATTTGAGTTTCCTTCCCTTCCTTTTAGTTTAAAATACTCCATTTGCTATAAATCTTCTCTCTCCTACTTTGTTGTTAAGTAACTCATGGATTTCAGGCTCCCAGGCTTGGAATAATGTCTATGTGAACACTGGATCTATCCAAGTGGGAGTGGTTCTTAATTTCTTACTCTCACCCGGTTACTCTTTCCAGATCTTCACTGCCCCGGTGAGCATCCTTGAATGTCATTTTTGTCTGCATTTAAGTACCTTATAGCAAAAACTGAATATAGGTCACCTGGTGAAAGTCACTAGAAATCATTATTAGCTTATGTGACATTTGGGAAGGATCTGTGATGTTGCTAGGAATGCTTTATTGAATGGATTACTGGACAGTTTGGTGTGGGGGGGGAGGAAGAGGGGCAGTTCTGCATCATTTTGATTGAGGATGTAGCTTTTTAGGAGTGCCAGGAGACTGCAAAAGTAAGATTGCTTTGCAAAATAGGACAAGTAAGAAGCTAGTGTTACTCCAGCACAGGCACTAATAGTACCTTCAGAAACCAGAGCAAGTCTTAAGAGTATTTAAATAGGATGGACAGAGCAGGATTCTGTGATAACAAGGTTCTCTGAAAGTCTCAGGCAAGGGAAGGAGATGCAGGTTTAGCATCTCTCCAGGGCACCCAGTCAGGAGCAGTAAGAGTTGGGGCCACTGACAAAACAGGACGAAGGTCCATGCACGAAACAGAGACGGCTGAGCACAGGCACACTCACAGCATGGGTCTCGGTACCCAGGCCAGAGCTTAAAGGTAGTCTGTGAGGCAAGCAGCAGCAGCTGGTTGCATGGGCAGAGGGAGAAAAAGCTAGTCAGGACTATTTAAAGCTTATTAGGGCCATGACTGTAAGGGAAAATAGGTTGCTGGTAAAGACTCTTCTCTCTGTTTATATAATCACAAGCATGTTTTTTTTTTCTCAACCTTTTCCAGCCACCTCATTGTTTCAAATCAGGCAGGGAGTGTTAAAAAATATTGTTAGGATTTTCTTAATGGCTCTTCAAATGCATACTGCTGTAAAGTACTTATTTATGCAAGCAGTTGCCTCCTTTTTCTAGTCACTGGTAACGGAGAGGAACATAGGGCTGATGTTTGAGTTATGATCATTCCTACTGATGAACACAAAAAGACCTTTTCTCTGATAGTGTTCTATTCTGTGGATCTTCTTTGCAGATCTTATCAGAAGATTATAAGGATCTGGCTGACAATCTACTCTTCCATTTTTGCTTGCAACAAATTTCATGGGAAATCAGGTTATCCCCATTACATAATGGAGGGAGAGTGGCTGATTCATAATTATGGCAAAGTATCCACTTCATCCTATCATACAGTCTATTTGGTTCCTTCTAATCAAATGCAGAGATGCAGATGCTAAGAAGTGGTAAGAGAAATTTACTAGTTTCTGATTAATATTGTCTTGCTTGTATGAACTTAGTCAAAAGCATTCATTTCATTTGTTCATGAAATTTGATGATGGGGCTAAAAATTAGCTAAACTGGTCATGTGTGGAGATAATGGAGAATTTGTGTGCTGTCTCAAACGTAGGATGTCAAAGGAAAACAGTCTATAAATACTTACTCAATGAAGAATAACTTTGGCTAAAATAGAAAAAGCCTGAAGCCAGGAAACTAATGACATACCTGTGACAGGGAAAAGCTGACCTTTGAAACAACTAGTTAAACAGCGTAAAAGTGCTATTAATCACAACAATGGCCTTAAACTTTCCTGCAAGGAACAAGGATTCACAGAAGCACACACAGAATTTAAGATAGAACTAATAAAAATAGATTCTTATAAATGACCTACTGGCTTATTTTTGAGAGTCAACACTGAAAGACTAGGTTCCTAGCTTTTAAAATGCTTAATTAGGTGGCCCCTCACTGGAATAGCAATTTCTACACCCTGCCTCCTCCATACACACAGCAAAGATTAAGTTGAAATGGCACAGACTATCTGCATGAGAAGACCTCCCATGAGCGCACATTGATTTGATCCCATTGCCCTGTTCTGTATCCCAGTTGAGACATCAATGAATACCTTCATGAATTCAGATCAGTTCATGAATTCAGTTTGGGAGAAACAGATATTTCAGATCCCCATTCAAGGGTCTTATTGAGGATTATAACTCTTCAGATATCACTTGTTTTAGTTAGAGGATAGGCTTTGTTTTTGCCGTTAGTTTAGGCACAGATTCTAGTTCTCTTGGAAAGAAAAGCATAACCCTATTGTAGCCTGGAATATTGACTAAAAGAGGATCACATTATGAAACCCTGCTTTACTGGTATGGTAGGCTCAACTCTTATCTTCTATATGTCGTCTCTCTAGCTTACCTTGATTTACTGATGACTGCTACCAATAAAGAACTGCAGTAACAGTAAATTCAGGGAAGGCATAAACATACTAAGAATAATACTCTTAGGATCTTATGAAATGGATGGTAAAGCAAATTTTCTTTGCTGCTCCTACTTAGTATGGCTATCTCTTCCTCAAAAGAGGAGTTAAATGGTGGATAAGAGTGTTGAAGTCCTAATTCATCCAGAAAATACTGAATTACTTGTAACTTAGATTTTCATCTCAAATACAAGGAAAGCAGAAAATTTTATATCTTAACTGGAAAAATGCATAAGTTTATTAGGACTAAAAGCCTTTTTTTTTTTTTTTTTTAAATCCAGCTAAAATTATTGGTATAAATAGGCCAGAATGAACTATGCCAGATACAATGTAAATGGGAATCAAAGGCAAGGGGAATTACAGAGACAGAAAGCTGGAGATACAAAGATAATGAATTCTTCAAATATATTAAGACAATAAGGCTACCCATTGCTTTCTTTGGTGTATTGATTCTCATACTTGATCTCGCATTGATGTAACTGTATGCAAACATTTAATACAGAAAAAAATATTTTACAATTGAAGTCATGTCCTAAAATAGAAAAGTTCTGCACAAAAGCAGGATTGTATGTAAACTGGAGTTAAAATCAAGAGAGTTCTGCAAAAGAACAAAGTCCCAGGTGCATATTTTTGACTTTATCTATAGTGGCTAACTGTGCCAGTGTTTTCCATAAGTGTGCAAAATGGTGCATGCAATACCCCATCTGTTACAAGAATAAAAGCAGCAGGAGGGTGCCACTTTATTGCATAAATTAGTAAGTCATCGTTATTTTGTATAGAGCATGTACCAACATGTCAATTTCCTTTTTGTCAAAAGTGATTGTTCTACTTTGAGTAGGAGGAAGGGTAAAAGAAATGGTGAATTCAGATGCCTTAAAGGGGCACTTCTGAAGAAGAAATGTGATGTGTGGAATTCAAGTTCTTCAATTTGATACTTCTAACGGCGAGGGAATTCACCACAGTGGCTTCTGAAAACCTAACTCAAGTGGCTTTTTTAATTCCGTCACAGACTGTAGCATAATGCTGAGAGTGAGTTAAATACACAATGAAACACCATTTCCGTTTTTCAAAAAAAAAAAAAAAAAAAAAGACTTCTACTGTCCAGTAATTAAAATGTCTTAAATGGAAATTAGACTGTGGAGTTCAAAATATCAAGAGGACACTTAAATGGAAAACTCTCCTGCACTATACTGTGTTTTATACTTAGCACCTTCTTTCCCAGGAACTCAAAGCCCTTAATTTACTAATACTACTGAATTTAGCCTCACAACATCCAGTGAGGTAGGTAAGTTTACCCTCATTTCACAGATGGGAAAAACTGAGGCAGAATTCTGAAGTGACTTGCCCAAGGTCCTGAAACTTGTCAGTGGCAAAACCAAGAACAGATTTTCAGAGGTCCAGATCCCAGACTTCCGAATGATTAAAGTCCTTCCCTACTACAACAAAGCAAGTAATACATGCAACCTTTCTCCTTCTACTGCTGAAGTTGTGATGGCACAATAGTAGTGTATGATTTTTCTTGATTGAATTCCCACATTCTTTGGCCAAGCACTTGGTGCTGTCAAGTGCTGTATCGTGTTCTCTGCAGAGGTGTTTCCTCTGAGGCACAGTAGAAAAAGGTGGTTTCTCCATGGCAGGGAGACTGTACAGATCCAAACAAAGTAGAGTCTTACTTATTGCAGAAGACCTGCTGCTTAGCATTTTTCACACGTTCTTCCTCCTTCAGGTTCTTCTGCCGTGCATGCTTGCTGGAGATCAACTCCACATGTTCTGAGGGGAACCAGCCTCTCTCTCTGTCAGAGAGTTTCACTCCTTCCATCCATCCTGTGAGTGTGGGGACAAGTGTAATAGGATAAAAAATTATGAAAGATTTTTGCTTTTTCTTCCCAACAAGCCTCTTCTAAATGATAAGTCTAGGGCAAGGCCAAAGGATCACAGAAGTTCCCTTTCCACATGAAATAGCTTGAAGATAAAAAAAAAAGTCTGTTCTTCCTCCCAACCCAAGAACCAGGCATGAGCGACTCTTTCTGAAGTCTGATTGTGTTAGTAAAGCTTTGCATTACAAAAGCAACTACCATCCCCTAATTTAAGAGGGTTGTGTTCATTCTGCTCACCATCAGTGCTGCTCTGCATAACCATGATGATATCTGCTTTCTCCAAAGCCAGCTCATCATTTTCCCGAGCCTTGTATGTCCTTATGCATTGAACTTGTGGTGCATCTAAAGGTGGAGAAAAAGATCACAACAGTGCACTAGGAAGGCAACAGTACACCTGTGTGCATTAGCTCAAATGAGAAAAAAGATAAGGAACTACTCAGACACTGAAGAGCAAAGAACTGGAGGGGAGATCACTGGTCTTCCAACTAATATGAGGAATAAAAGATAAGCTGAAGAACCTAGTACTGAGAGAAAGCACACAAATAGCTTATTTCTTTATGAAAAAGTAAATGTTCCACCTTGGAGTCACTCTTGGATGTTCCACCTTGCAGTGACTCCAGCTCTTCTCAGCCAGCCCACCCACATTGGTACAATGGCCAAGCAGTCTCACCAGGGCATTCCAGGAGGTCCAGTTCCCCTCGTGGAGGAGCCAAAGCAGAGATCCACCGCAGCTTCTCACTTCTGGAAAATATCACCATGGAGATGTTAGAAGTCACCACGAGGGATAACAGCCTGGTGGGTGTGCAGGTATGCATATATATGCTTGCTCAGAGAAGGGATTAGAGAGCGGGCCTCAGCTGAAGCAGGAGAAGTGAACATTGAAGAAAAGGACGGGAAAAGGCAGAAGGTCTTGGAGGCTAATGATATGAAGTAATGTGGTTGTAGGGTGTGAGCAGCCAAAATGAGAGAAGTGCTCACTATGGCAGACTGGAGGATGAACTCTGAGTCCTCTGCTCAGCAGCTGCATTTGATATTCAGCATTCAGAGAGTTGAGACAACCCCTTCAGGCTGCAGAAGGTTGTGCAATTGGGATATACTGAGGGTAACCTTGAGCTCTTACTGTGTCTCTGTACGGAACAGAAATTCCACTCTCTTGCCCTGGTAATTCTGAAGTAGAAAGAGACGGAAGACATTTTTGTTTGTTCCATGCAGTTTCATCTCACACTTCTCCCCACGCACATCTGAGAAAGCAGCATGGTCAAACACAACAAAACGTCCACCCCTGCAGGTTAAGAGGGAAGACAAAACCAGCTGTTAGTTTTAAGGTGATAAGGATTAAGAAAAGAGTCTCTAAATTTCTCATGTATTGAGAACAAGAAGCTTTTAAAGAATCTTCATCAGCTTAAGATTGGCTTAAAATAAGAGTCTTATTACAAGTCCAGAGAAGAGAGGTGATATGGCTGTAGGCTTAATGGAAAGGGTAGAAAAACTAATCTCGGTCTTGTCAGAATTTTATTTGATAGCTTATAGTTTAAAAAGAAAAGAGTTTCAGTCTTGTGACATACCAGTGATTTGCACAGTCACTGGTCTTCATAATGTCTTTAAGGAAGAAATAATATACCACTAAGTAAAATAAATTCTTATCATTAAATTGTTTCACATTATAGAGATAGAAAGTGTTGCACTGGGGACCATAAGGTATGCTGTTATATTATCATATTATATCACATCATATGTGGTAATTAGGAGTAAAGAGTAGCAGCTTCCACATATTTTCAAAATATTCATGTAATGTAGGATTAGGAAAGTGACTTGACAAATGCTGCCACTTGCTGGCAGGCAGAGGAAAAGGACTTTCATGAAAACACAGGTCCAAGTTTTTAGAAGCAACAGCAAGAATTGGGTTGCAGTACTCACTCCTTTGGCCGTGAGAGGAGCAGGCAGTCATTGAAAAGATGTAGGTAGATCGGGCGGGTGGTGACTTTCCATTTTTGACTGAGGGTGTTGAAGTCCAGTGCTGTCAACTCACCACACTTCACAAGGCGTCTTGACTGTGAAATGAGTGGGAAAATCTGCAAGAGCATAACGAACATTTACACTTAGAGTGCACAAGGAAATCGGCATCCATGTACATGGATCTGCATTTGCACTTTTCACTGGAGGAACAGTGTTTTTATCTCTCCAGCTGGACAGTGGCAAGTCATAGAAGGACCCTTCAGCTTAAAGCTGACACAAATAACTGGACAAGGAAAAGTGCTGATGGTAGAGCTGGCCTGTGTATGATACACTGGCTTCTCAGTTTTGTATATGCTTGAGAACACAAGGGAGGAGACTTGACTTTGCAAGGGAAGAGGTAGAAGGCATTAGGCTATGGCAATCTGGGGCAAGTCCTAGGGAGTGGACCAGCAAACCTTGCACTCGAATTCAATCTTCTGGCTGAGGTAGATCAGCTCTTCAGTGCTCTTCATGCGCTGGACATTTTCATTGCAATCCTTGATGAGCTGCAGAGGAAAAGGAATGATTTGTGAGCTGGAAGCAGAACTGACTGGTGGAATCAATAGTACAACAGGGAGCAGGGCAGGGGGAGGCTGAAAAAGTAACACAATCCCAAGAGCATCTTCCTTCTGAAGGAGGAAAAAAAAAAAAAAAAGAATGTGGAGAAGCCTAGTATGCTCTCTTACAAAAAAAACCTAACAAACAAAAAATATTTTTTTTCTTCTCCAAATCCACAAAGATATAGTCCTTAAGAAAGAAGTTCATATTTTTCCAGTCTTGTTTTAACTTTGGGATACTAGGGGAAGGTGGTAGAGATTTCTCTTTTCTGGTGAGGGAGACAATTGATGGTCATTTGGATGTGGCTGTTTCTGCAGGCTGCACTGCATTAATCCACAGAAGTCTGATTAGGTAAACATTAGCCCTCAGTTCATCACAATCCAAATTCTGCAGTACTTCTGAAATGAAGCAAAGGTACTTCAGTCTTGAAGATGCCTAGGTAGCCAACTGAGGGGATATAGCTTAACTGTAAAACAGTATTTGAGTACATGGTATGCATAACCAAAAGGGGTGAAAGAAAGCAAAACAAAACAAGCCCTAGAGATACAGCTGGCTTGAACACAGCTGGAGCCTAAGGATTCACTATATTACATCTTAACCAAGGAAACATGCATCCTGTTAAACTGCTCTGGAGGTTTGCAGGGGAGAATAGCTGAGAAATTGTAAAACAAGGAATTACACTCCAACAAGGTCGAATGATAAGGCTAGATGCAACACAAGCTTGCTGGGAACAGGTTTCCTTTGTGCTACTGTACTAATTCCAGATGACAAGTTGTCTCTTGAAAACTTTGAATCTTGTCTCCTTAATTAATAGATTAGGGGAAGGGATGAAGTGAACAGAATGGTGTCTTGCCAAGCCTTTTTATTTTATTTTTTTAAATGGAGATTTTTTGGGGGGTTAGGAAGTAATAGCTGATTAAAAACAAGTGTAAGGACCACACAGGGGGAACAGTGATCAGGACACTGAAAAGAGTTAGTGAGTCCTGAAAAATAATAGTGTGATATCAATGGCCCAGTATCCAGTTGCATCCCGTCAGGATCCTTGTTTAGTGAGCTCTGCTCACAGGTACCAATGTACATACAGGAGAGTCACATGAACACAGTATATATATATGTGTATATATATATATATATATATATATATATAAAAACTGGTGAGGATCAACAGCAAAGGCCCTGAAAGGATGAGATCGATGGCAGAGAGAGGCACATTTAGCAGCCCTGCAGCTCGGTGTTGGACAGTGCATAGTTGTGGAGAATGGAGTGATGGTCTTACCTTTTCAAGTGCATCATAAGCTTGTGTTGCTTGCACTTCCTCTTCAGATCCAGGCCGGGTTCTCTTCAGAATATTCTGCAGGAGAATGTGTACATTTTTCATAATGCAGACAGGACAAGCTAGACAGTTTCTGAGAAGGGGAGGATAGACAAAGAGACACCAAGATGCCAGCCTAAAGGAAGGCTAAAGCAGTGGTAAGAAATGAGATATGGAGATAACAAGACCAAAATCTAAGACGTAGAATGTAGCTGGCAAGCTGTACTGTACAGGGCATTCCTGAAAATTTTCATAGACCTGTCATGCACAATAAGTTACATTTGGCATGGGGAAGCAATCAGTAATCCAAGCAAAATACAGACTTGCACAGAACTGTTCTTTGCTTGATACTCTTTTTTTCCCTGTTTCATAAATAATGAATAATCAAAAAGAAGAATTTCACAGAGAGCTCAAAACCAATTTGGGGGGGTTTGAAGGTTGCTTGTCAGGCAGGCTTTTGTTACTCAATATTACAGGCAAAGAGTAGAGACAGGCTGCCTTCCAGAAGGGAAGCCAAGGAATAATTATATTGTTTTCCTAGCAGGATGCCAAATAAGTTCAATAAAATTGAAAGCAGCATGTTCTGAGAAGACTCTATTGGAATACAACTGAAACAGTGTTGCAAGAGAGTATACAAAACTGCACTGGCTGGTAGCGGCTATTGAATCCAAGTCACGGTGCTGCCCTAATGCACAGCAGGTATTTGGATGCTGCCAAGTAGGTTTGTTTTTGCAAAGGTAGATTAACAGTCTACACAACAGAGTGACTTTAAAGCATCTAGCCAAATGTATCGCAGATGCAATGCTAAGGCCTTTAATGCAGTCTCTCCTCACCATGCTTGAAACTTGCTCATATTTGTATGGCTTTCAGAACTGAAAAGGGTAGCTTGGGAGAAGCTGTAGAAAAGCAGAGAAGCAGTCAGTTACCTGTAGGAGGAGTTTCAGTCGAGTGATGCGCTGGAAGGGGAGGATGAGGAAGGATTTAAGGGAGAGGCGCTGGCATACTGGATCACTTTCCAGTCTCTCCAGGACTTGTTGGAACCCTGCGTTTCCATTTCTGTGGGAGTGATAGAGAGAAAGATATCTAGACATCAGAACAAATAAATAATTTCCCTAAATGATCAGGGGGATTTCAGTGAGGTTGAAGTACCCAGCCACTGGGATCAAGTTTTGTCTGTTTTGTCTGTGTGGCAAGAGATGTCCGGAAACCGAGACACTCTGCTAAGGACAAGGGAATATGAGTTTTTAACAGCTACAGAAGGTTGCCAGTACAACTGTAATTTTATCTTTGTTCTTTGGAGCACAGTCCTCTTGGAATAAAGGCCAGAAATAACATTTGTGTTACATTTCCCTCTACTAGAAGGACACTTTTCCCAGAGACAGTGATGGTTGGTGTTCTTTCTTTACACTGAGTGATCCAGATCTAGGAGCTTTATCTAGGGTTTAGAAACAGCTGCCTCTCCCCTCTTGACAACAGCAACAGCAGAAGTGACCCTGATGTGCTTATGTATGAGTAGAAGGTTGCTGCTTCTGGGAGGAGCTGCCTTCCCCCCTAAACTGTCTCTAATGCTCTTAGACATAACCATTGCCACCCAGTTTTCTGTGCTGGACAAGCAGCACAGAAGATACAAGGAAGAAAAAATACAAGATATAGTAGTATTTGAGTAGCATCAGAGATATTATAGTAGGTAAATGAGCATCAGAATAGCCAATCCCATCTCCTTGAAGATATGGGAAGGCAGGTGGTAGGCATGGCAGAAGCAGTTCTCGGGCCCACATTGCTCTAGACAGTATTCTTTCCATGTGCAACTAAGCCTTCCCTGAGGAGACTTTGCAAGAAAAGGTCTCTGCCAGCCAGCAGCACCCAGAGACAGTGCTTGAATAGCCTGTGTGTCCTGGAAAAGATTTACTGGAATCAATATAGTTTCAATGAAATTGTGTTGTTATGGAAGGAAGCAGTGCAGAAATACATAGGAAGTTGTGTTCAAGACTGGGATACTCAGGAAGTTTTGTTCAAGACTGGGCCTATGCTTCAATGCCTGGTTGCGGCACTGGGCATGGAGGAGGAGGGCAAGAGATGTTATTCCATCATATAAAGCAAAAAAGACCAAATGTGTTCTCTGGCACTAGGATTTTCAATCCATCTTAAAGGCTCCTGCATGGCCAGTTTAAGCCTACCGACAAGATGAACACTTAACATCTTTTTCACATTCTTAGTAATCTGAAGACCACAGATGGAAAAACACTGTCTAGGAGAGTCATCTTTGCCTTCTTCAGTAGCAAACAGAGACACAGAGAACCTCACAAGTTATTTATTAATCATTCCCTTTGTGATACAACAAAAAAGGAGCCTGCAGCAGTTCTGTCCAGCTGCCCCAAATGCTATCATATTTAAAGGGGTTCCTGCCACTCTGCTGGGAGCGGACTGCCAGTAAATAACCTGCGTCCCTCCTCTCCTGAGGGACTGCACATCAGAAGTGCGGCAAAGATGGCAGGGGGAGGGGGCAAAGGGAAAAAAAAAAACAAAAACAAAAAAACAAGAAAACTTACAGTAAGCGCTGGAAGGTTTGCTCCTGGTACGTCTGGTTTGTCACATACGGTAGATACACCCTCCGGAACTCAGGGGCATGTTTCAGAGCCACATCGCACACATGGAAGGTAAACATGTCCTCCTCAAATTTCTCCTCCAAATCAAAGAGGAAACTGCAGCACATTTATATTGCCATAAAAGCAAAGTGAAATACAGAGAATGGTGGTCAGTGTTACTTAACAAAGTCAGCATACCTGACAATGTACATATAAGCACATATACCTCTCTACTTTTAAAGCGAGTGCAAGGCCTGTATGATGACAATTTGGAATAAGATATGCACTTATACTCAGCAAGGAAGAAGCAGAGGCAAAATTAATTATTGTTTTTGTGAAGTCCCATTTGCTACTTTTTCAAGCATGGGCAGCAAACTGTGGAAAGTCAGACACGATCATAATATTCCCACCAATAGGAATGGAAAACTTAGCAGTAGAACTTAGGATGGTATGTAGACAACTGTCATGGAAGGAAATCAGGACAGAACCCTGCAACATATAGGATTCTTTGCATGTGGGGTCATGTCTAAGTTTATGACTTACAGTCAGTTAGGATCTGTCAAATGATGCTGGAATTTCTGCCCTCCCCCCCGGCTCCTCCTGTTTTTTTGGAGGTGTAGGAGGTCAGCAGCTGTTTCTGCTGCAGCTGCTTCTGCTTTGGCAGGAGATGCATTTGGTTTTAAGCTGAGGACTAGTTAGTCAGGTTTGATTGTAGTTAGAGCCAACAGGGCTCGGCAACAGCCCTGTTGCACAACTGCGTCATATTTTCTGGGACTTAACACGAAGATTTGCATTGCCCTGTCACCTAAGAAAGTGAAACAGCTTCTTTCAGAGCAGCATTTAATCCATCACAAAGTGCTATATGTGCGCATGTATCTTCATGTCAGTCAACATGGAGAACTAGAGTGAGATGAAATTGATGGATCAGTAGTTTCAAGGCTGCATCTGTGCTTCAGATAGGGGTGTTAGCCCTGGAAGTCAAAAAAATCGTATCTCACCTAGCGCTGACATCACGTACATCGTGAAGACGGGAAAAAAGCCACTGACGCTCCTGGTTAGTGAGTACTGCCTGGAGCTCAGGTGATCGCTGGAAGTGATCCACTGCCACATTTAAACTGCGCAGGTAGGAAGCTTCTGACATTATCAACTCAAACTTGGCCTTGAGACGAAAATAAAGGAAAAAGCATAGCGTTAGCAGACTTGGCTGTGAGGAATCTGACTGAGATGAGATTGAGGGGCAAAGCAAGAACACTTCCTGAAACATGCTATTTACATCATGTAACATGTTATATGAAACACAGAAAGTCAAGCTCTCCTAACCGGGCAATATAAATAAACAGGCGTTTTAATTACAGGAAAAAGAGGCTTTAAGGAGTGAAGGACAAGCATATTGTTTCATACAGACTTTATTTCTTTTGAAAGACAAACGTGTGCTGTGATTCAAAAGAAAAATAACTACTTGCTATCATTTTGCTTTTTACTCTCCCTTCGATTCTGCTTTCTTTACGTTCTCTATCTGCTCCCATGAACTTTCTAGCATCCACATAGCCTCTTTTTTTCCCCTTCATTTATCACATTTTCCATGATGTGATTTTTCTTCTCTGTCCCTGGGTCTTCACCTACTTTTTAATTCCTCCCGTATTTCTTCCACTTTGCATAGTTTCTCTGTGTACCATTTTGCTGAACACATACCTTACTGTTCCCTCTCAGCATTGCAGCTAGCACATGCCAATTCTGTAAATTCATACTCTGTTACAGGTACTACAATTCATTACTGTTTCATATACGCATTTCTCATAAGTTTGAAAATACTATCTTAATAATCTTAGAGTGACAATGCTTAAAATTCCTTCTTCCATCTCATAAGTGTTCTGACTTCCCCATGTTTTTCTTTTTCCCATGAAGTTGCTGATATTTTCCCCATGAAGTTACTGCTACATTACTGATATCTAATAAGGTACCTTACTCCAGTACTCCTTCCTCTAAAATGGTGAGCTTCAGGAAATATGCTACTACATAACTTTTGGTATCAAGTCTCCATATCTCTTACATGACTAGCTTTAGTGACCTCTGCATTCAACCATCTGCATTCCCAAATGGAATATTTTTGCTCTCCACTTCAACCATACCTTTGGGTCCTTTTTCATGAGTAGGAACCACTCATAAGCAAGATACCTTACTTAGCACACATCTACCCATTACCTCTTGCAGCTTCTGCTCATCATGGGACATGTTGAGTAGCATTCTGCTTCCCCGTATCATAGGGATGTCCTGCCAGAGGGATGCATTAGATGAGACTGACAGACGTTGCAAATATGAGTCCTGAGGAGAGAGCACTTTCCTCCGTAGCCGTGGGGAGCTTGGGAAACTCGACTCTATGTCCTCTGAGAAAGAATCCACTCTCTTCTGGTTCTGAATGGCCTTGTTCAGAACCACATCACTGTACTCCTGATACAGCAACCTTGCTGTGAAGAGAGGCACATACATTTATTCCTTCTAGAGCAGCTACTAATTCAATTTTCCTGTCTGGAGAAAGCATTGTAACTGTTACTGTTTAGGCTAACAGAATGCATTAGCCCATATGCTCTCTGCAGTGAGCAGAGCTCACCATCACCAAATGCACTGCTTACCCCCATGAAGCACCCTCGCTAACACTCCCTGCTTGCCCAAAGCCTCTGCACCCCCTCTGCTTTGTGCTTACTGAATAGGTGGGAAGCGATGGAGGAAAGGGGTCTGCCCCAGCACCGAAGGTAGCAGATACTCACAGGAGTTGATCAGTTTGGAATGCCTTCGTTTGAAGTTCTCCCTCACATCTGCAGGTTTCTTCTCTCTGTCAGAGAGCAAGGATTTGGAAACAAAGAGTGAATGAAGAGCTGGCTTATCCAAATCTTACTAACAGATCTCATACCGCAGGTACTTCTCTCTCCAACAAGCTCAAGCTCCATGCTTCCGTTACAAAGGTCAAAATTTGGCTTTGTGAAGGCACTGTATTAAAGGGACACAAATAGTGCTGTTGCAATGGGGGTCTCTTTCCAGAAGGTATGGATACAGATGTCATTTTATTACAGCTTTCTACCGCTTATCGTCATCTTTGCTTCCTAAGGAAGGATGTCTTTCAGGTGTCTATGCTACACAATGCTTGGGGTGAAAGCAGAGGGGATTATGAGACTCACCGCATTATAACTGTTTCTGAACTGACTGGTGGCTCCCTGTATGCCTTGGGTGCTTCTTTCTCTGGAGGGACAGTAGAGATTTCTGCGTATAAGACAATCAAAAAGTAAACACAAGTTTGACTTTAGAATCAAGCTACCAGCCAAATTATACACAGATACCGCTCATTTAAACCCCATCTAATTGGTGATTTTGGGCAGGCATACGGCTGCCTTCCTGACCTTTATTTCCAAGTCAGACACTTTATGGCGTTAATAATCCTTCACATTACTTACACTGTGCATCCACTTTTTAATCATATTAGCTTTTCTTATCTAAAAAATGGATAAAGAGACTTTCAGAAGTGTCAGAAACTCTAGAAGCTTCCATTTCTAGTTGTCCAAGTAAAGATACTGCATATGGGTCCTGTTTTGTAAGATGTACTTCTCCTTTTGGCAATGTGGATCAGGCAGCTGAAGACCAACGGCTCCCAAGTTGCTAGTCATGCCTGAAAGTCTTGTACTTCCTTTTGCAGCCATTGAGCCACAAAACTGTCTGTAATTTCTGTGGTATAAATACTGAAAATCTAACAAAGTTACACCTACCAAGAGTTTTAGAGGAAATGCAGTCTGGGGGGATCAGGCATGAGAACAAATGTTGCCATCCAATTCTCACATTTATGTACTATATGAGTGTTTACAAACTGCTATTTTCTGAGTCAGCTTCTATTTATGTAACATGGGGAAGGTATGGTCTTTTGTTCTGCAAAAGCCTTAATTAAATAAGGATTGAAAATAAACACATGCGCACAAATAAATGAGCTGAAAACATGGGTAAGGAACAATATAATATTGTTACTTTTAATGTTTTAACATTTGCAATTTACAAGTTAAATCTATGAAAAAGATCTTGAGTTACATGCTAACGCCACATCTTTTGCATGCCCTAAGCAACCCTCCTTTTCCTGTATACCAAAACTCCAGCATTTTGTTGAGCTTAGAAAATGAACTAAAGAACTAAGACCATCATGTTAAAAGTATAATTCATGTGAGATATAGTGAAGAACAGGCATGCATCCTCACAGAAAGTACAGTTTGAATGAGCTACATTTCAGAGGACGTAAGTTTTCCATTCCTGACATCCTTTTTCTAAAGGTGGGATACTGGATTTGACAAATTTGCACTCCTATCTGGCATCTCAAATTGTATGTTCTCAGGAGGATAATCTCTTCCAGAAGGCCAAATTGGAACCTAACGGCATCAGTTGCAAAATAAAGGAGATAGCAATAAACAAGGAACTAAAACATGCTACAACAGATACAGGCTACTAAGGGTATGTGCATGCATGTTCCTTAGTGCTTGGAAATGAGCCATTACTGATATGCAGCACCATGGAACAGCCATGTGAAGATGGCAGAGATGACTAACAGAAACTTAAGAATCAAGCTCTAAAAAATTAATTCCAGGAGGTATGCCAAAATAACCTGTGTTATTAAGCAAGTGCCACAGATCATTAAACATGGAAGAGATTTAGAAGAAACATGATATGAAATTAAGAGAATGTGCTTATACACAGGCTAGAGTGAGAAGTATTACCAGAAACCAGAAATTTCAAGAAAAATGCTGATCCCGCAACTCTCATGACTTCATATCACATTGCCTATTTCATGTTAGGTTTTGATATCTACATTAAGTTTTGGGGAAGGGAGAGGACTCACCCTGCAAGATGTCTGATGGTATTGATATTCTTTTCAGGCCTTGACGATGCCAATCCTTGCTTTTTACTCGGCGTTTAATTGGGTTTTCTTGACTGGCTACTGGCTCCTGTGGCACCACTCTGATCATTTTTTTATCTGGCCAGCTTGATGATTTTTCCAAGGGTGAATGTCTGGTCACTTCCCCCAGTGGCTGAGCTACTGAATGCTGTTGTTCTCTTTGTACTTCCAGCCTTTGCTTGACCCTCCTCTCAGCTTCTGTTTTCTCTGTAATCATTGCCAGAGCAGAGATGTTCTTTGTGTCCATGCTAAAGATGTCTGCCTGTTGCACCCATTGCATCTCCCCCAAGACCTCTTCTTCACAGGTTGTTCTGGTGGTTGGTGGTGATGGAGGGCTGAGCTGAAGGAAGTGAATTGGATTGGTGAATGCTAGCACTGGAAATGGCTGTACAGAGTCTCTATTCCTGGAGTCTGTGGACGTTCTCAGGACTTCCAGCAAAGGCTGAGAGTTGTGGTCAGGTGAGGACTTTCCACAGTGTGTGTCCATACACTGGTCTGTTGTTTCAGGGCTGGTGTCAGAGCAGCAGGCCAATGGCTCATTTGCCATGGCAGAAAAGTTTTTGGATAACAGACCAACCCCTGAATCATCGGAATTCTCTGTGTCCTGGGTACCTGAGTCAGGGAGATCCCACTCCTTTGTTGCTAGAACAAGGACGTCTTTCTCTGTTATTTCTGCATCAGGAGCAGAGGCCACAGTGTTAGAATCAGATACAGCTGTGACAGTCTGGAGAGGGTGGCTCACAGTAGGGGGAATGGCTAGTAATTCATTACTGTCTATAGCACAGTTTAGATCTGAACTGAAAAAGGGTGCAGAAGCTGGTGGCTGGTCACTGTCAAGGTTTGGAGTCTGGGCAAGGTGATTTTCATTATGTGCAGGGGCCTGAACCTGGCTGGGATTTTGGATGTGGGATGGAAGATTTGGAAGCTCTTTGGCATCAGGCTCAAATACCAGAGGCAGGCTTGATTCAGGTGCAGGAGAGAGAGCTGGTCCTTGCTGTTTCACAGCAAGTACCATAGCTTCTTCAGAAGGCCAAGTTAGGTTGCTCAAAACACAGGAGATTCTGGATCCTGGTTCTTCTTGCCTTAAATTCCCATCACATTGACCAAGTAAAGGTGTTCGTTGTGCCTTATGACCCACGTTTTCTTCTATTTTACTTCCTTGGATAATGGCAACCTTTTCTGGGGGTTTTTGGTACTGCTGAATTGTTTCTGGGTAGCTCAAGGGGGTAGAAGTCCTGTCTGGTGTTTGGGGTGATTCTAGAGGCCCTGCAACAAAAGTCAGTGTTCCTCTATCTCCAGAAAGGCTCTCTTCCTCCAGAGGAGAGCTCATGTAAACTACAGAGAAAGAAGATGGGCCATGAAGCTCTTCATGAAACCCTTTTTCAGAGGTAAGCAAATCATGAGAAATGTAGGCCTCTCCTGAATCAGTATTTAAAATTTCTTTTTCCCCCGGTGCCAGGTCCTGCACACACAGCAGAGCAGCCTGGTTGACTGACCTCTCTACAGAATCTAGCAATTTGTCCAGGTTGCCACCAGGACAGTCCTCACAGCTCATAAAGGGTGTTCCATCATCATCCTCTTGATGTGGGCCAGATGTTGAAGCTAATGAGGTCATCTGTGAGGGTAAAACTGGAATGAAGTCACGAAGCTCAGGTTTTCCCAAATTTTCTGTAATAGGAGGAACATCTGTGGGATCAGGTGGCCTGAAGTTCTTGGTACCAGAGGAACAATATGCTGAAACAGAAGCCTCCGAGTTCTCTGCACTAAAGGATGCTGCCATTCCTTCACACAGTGGTGCATTTCTTTTATCAAACTTCTGGATCACCTTTTCATGCCCATCACTGTGCTCATCCTCCTTCCTTAGTCCTGTTTTGTCATCCCAGCCAGCTTCTGAGCTATCCTGACCACTGATGGAAAAGCGTACAGAGTCTTCCAGGTCTGCTGCCTGATCAGGGATATGGCATGTACGTGGGGGCATCATGGGAGTTTCATCCACAGGGTTCAGGCTAATCGATGGCAAAGGACTGGCAGCAGCTGGCTGACATGCAGAATCTGCTGCTGTGGCAGAGGCTGTCAGCAGCACATCTTCATCAGTCTGCTGACACTCAGAGACAGATTCTCCACGAAGAAATGCTGGTTCTGTTTGCTCAGCTGAAGAAACATTCTCCAAATAACTCAAGTCCCCTTTGTACCTGGAAGCAGATGATGTCTCTGAACTGAAGGCTGATGACAGAGCCCCCAGGTCAAGCTCTTCCTTTGGAAGTTCTTGTTCTAGCTCATTTCCTTCTTTCTTTTTCTGATCTTTTGGCTCCAGCTGTGATTCTTCTTCTTGTGGATTCTGCTGCTTGAACTTTTTCTCCTCCTCTTCTTGCTCTGCCTGCTGAAGTTCAGACACTGCCTGATCCAGTTCTGGGTCCTTCTGTTTTGGTTGCTTGCACTGTGAACCATTTGTTTTCTCCATTTTTTTAACAGCATCCTTTGCTTGGATAGCACATACTATTGGAGAGGCAGGTCTGCCCTCTACTTTTCTGTAGCCATCTTCTTGAAGACGAAGGCTTTTAGAAATGGATGAGTTTTGCCTAATTATCATCACTGTTCCCTGGTCCTTGGCCGTGCTGCTGTTTCTTGTCGCATGAGCCGAGATCTTTCCTTTCACATGTAGTGAATTTCCTTGTCTGTCATCTATAAAGCTGGAAGACACATGGTGGGAAGAGGAAGACTCTGTATTCCCTTCCCGACCCTGGAGCGTTCTTATGCTTTCCTTAGCATCTTCAGAAGTGTTAGGCTTAGCCATATCTTCAGCTGCTGCCCTTGAGATAGCCTGCTCATCAGTTGCTGGTATGACTTTTGTGCTGCTTTGTTGCTCTCCAGTAGCTTCAAACTCCTGCAAAGATTCTGTCACGATCTTATCCAGAAAAGGCTCGGCCTTATAGTGACCCTCCGAAATGGTTTTACACACCACAAAACACTTAGCTGGTTCTTTCTGTGAGGGAATGGAATCAGATAAAGAGGATTTCGGACACTGGGCCTGAGTGTGTGAGCTGTGAGAAGCCACATGTTCTGCCTGGCACTGAGGACATTCAGGGCTGAGGTCCAGAGCCTGCAGGATGATGTTGCCATCCTGGACTGTGTTGGGAGAGGAAGAGTCCTGGTTCCTTTCCAGGTCCACAAGCCCTACTTGGTGAAGTTTGAGAGAGCAGTCCAGCCCACCCTCCTCCAAAACTATTTCTCCTTCGCATTGTGAAAGTCCCCTTTGACGCCTGGCATTTTGCAGCTGGTCCAGCCCTGCTGGCACTTTTCGCACAGAGTTAGAAGGTCTGCCCAGCATCTCTGCTGATTCCCCTGAAGCAGAAAAGCAGTCCTGGGGTGAGTTAAGCTCTGCTTCCTTTGCAGAGTCAGATGGGCTTGGACTCATCTGTACTGATATGTGAGGAGCATGATGTTCTTTTTTGGCTACCGTAGAACCCCAGGCCTCCCCAGTAATGCTGCTGGCTTCAAGGAGAGTGGTACCTCCCTCACTGGTTTCTTCAGACTCCATCAGTGAGGCATCCTGTCAATGAAAAATGCATATTTTTGTTACCACTGCAGAATGATTTGGCAGACTTAATTGGCTTAAAAAACTTTAAAACATTGTGTCCAAGAGAAAAGTAAAACACATACTCAGAATGATAAGAGTTGGAAAAAAAACGCTATGTATAAGGGTAGGCAAACACTCAGTAAAAATATGCAGAATGATGATAACACTAAAATAAGCCTACCAGTGTCCTTTTAGTTTTATATGCAAATTCAGAAAGTGACTTTAGTCAAGGAACAGAGAGATGACAGCATTTCTACACCCATCTGCAGCTTAACTTTTGAAAAGCATTGGTCATTCCTAACCGTATCAAATGCATTTTTGCCAGAAGGCATTCAAAGAACAAGAAAATGATCAAACAACCTCCACTAATTTTTGATGCGTGGTTCATGTATACTCTGTCTCTTCCGGTGGTTAGCTGAGATTAGAGATCTCGATATCAACAAAAGCTTGTGCTTTTAGAGCTGACTTCTCTCTTTACTGGATGTCTATGCACGTAGGTATAACAGAGAGACCACAACTGATCACAGGAATTGATTAATGAGGACTAGGAACATAAGCATTTAATTAATGGATAACTAGAACATGACATAACCTACAAGATACTTGAAGGCTCTAAGCCACAAGGGTTGAAGGCAGTAATTTTGATGTTCATGGACACAACTACAGATTAGCAAGAGAAATAAGATCGTAATTTAGACTGCGCTTCCAGGAAAACGAAACAAAAAAACCCTCAGGATTGTTGGACAATTTTCTAAAGGATGTACTGAAATTTCCCATCCATTAGTACATTTGAAGATCAGCGATGAGAAAGCACTAGGGAATGTGCATTTGGGAATTTGTCTGAAAGGATGGTAGAATCTGATTCATTACTTGAGGGCTTTTTTTTTTTTTCTTTGGATTCTACTTATCTGCAGATCCTGTGATTCACAATCTCCCTAAGAAAGGAAAGAAAGAAACCAACCTTATTGGTTCCACCTCCCCATCTTTCCTCTGCTTTGGAACATTTCTCCAGTATTCCAGCCTTTTTCTTTTTATTCTCTATCCTCTGCTTACCAAAAATTGCTGCTTTATGTATAGTCAGTATTCAGGACCCTTGCAGTCATGCCAAAGTGTATAAGGAGGGAACTGCTACAATGAGGAGCCACAGTCCTAAGCAAAAGCCTCAGTGTTTTCCTCCTTCACCCTTACAATTGTAAAAGCTTCCAGATGCCAGCAGCAGATCCTGCAGCTTTTGGTCATCTTTCACATTTTTTCAGATTTAAACAAGCAAACAAGCACCAAACACACACCACCACAAAAAACAAACAAACAAACAAACAAACACCAAAAAAACCCTAGCATCTTAGCAGCACAAAAGATTCAAGGCTCTAGAAAGTTCATACTACTTGTGCAAAAAATAAATTATATACATATATTCTTGCTCAAAACAGACAACTAAATCCAAATACTTTTTAACAGTCCAAATCCTATAAATTTAAGGTTAACCATTTTACCAGAGTTTCAAGAAAAAAAAAAAAAGAGTTCATCAATTAATTCTTAGATTTTGTTTTTTTCCTCATGTAATCTTTCATTTTAATAATCTCAAAATTTGATTATTTTGCAATCTGGATTTTTCCCCCCTCAACTTGAGGGGAGCTGTAAATAGTTATAACTTCAGCAAATATTATGTGCCTAAGAGCACATAATGTTTTGGAAACATTACGCACACCTTCTGCCATATGTTACTGTTATCAGTTAGCAGTCAACTACCTTCCTGATGATAAATCATCTTTTGAAACTGTGGCACATGGACATATGCACTGTTGCATATTCACAGTGCTGGGAGGTATAAAACTTGCACAGAAACATTATCTACCCGTACCAAGAGCAGGGTCATAAACTTG